GTGTGGCGGCCCCTGGGGGTCCCAGGACGACAAATACCCTGGGCGATCCCCGGACAAGTCCCGGGCAACTCTGGGGCAACTCCCAGGCGGTCCATGTTCCGGGTGCCGGAACTCCCCGGGGGGGGGGCCGTCGTGACCCTCAAAACCGCCCCAGGAGCGCCCCGAGGGACCCCAAGGAAGCTCCAAGAGGGCCCAAGAGTCGAGATCAATATGGCAGGCTTCAAGATGGCCCGAAAACAATCTCAAGAGGCCTCAAGATAGCCCCAAGATGGTCATAGACAGGCCCAAGAGGGTCCCCTGAGGCTCAACTTCTTTGATGCTACTTCGGCTTTGCTGAGATTTTTGCCTCACCACTTTTTGGGCCTTCCAACTGCATGAGACGGCCGAGGAGGCCCCCAATATTTATCCAAGTCAGACTAAAAGGTCCCCAAGACGGCCCCAAGACCGCCCAAGAGGGCCCTAAGGCCGCTTACGAGGCCTCCCAGCAGGGCTCCACAGGCTCCCAAGAGAACCCCAAGAGGGGGATCCGAGCTGACATGTCGAACACTTCCCCGAAAAACGGTTCCCGAGACCGACAGCAGGCCCCAACAAAAAGCCCCCAAGGGGCCACCGGAAGCGAACAAAAACTCAAGAGGCCGCAGGAGGTCCCCAAAAGACCGCCGAGAGGCCTCCCAAGAGATCCCAAGAAGTCGCCCAAAAAGGGGCACTGTCCACTACCTAAAAATGCCCGATAAGCCATCGAGAGGCCTTATCACCCTCCTCACTTTTCCTCCTCCTCCTCCTCCTTCGCCTCTTCCTCCTCCTTCTCCTCACTCTTCCTCCTCCTCCTCCTCTTCCTCCTCCTCCTCCTTCTCCTCCTCCACCTCCCCTTCCTCCTCCTCCTCCTCCTCCTCTTCTTCCTGCTTGCTCGCCGGGAACTCAGCAACGTATAGCCCCCGTGATACAATACGGTTCCACGGAATGAGCGAAGCGATTCAATGACTCGTTGTCTGCGTCGTGCCCGTTACTGTGATGGTCCGCGCTGGCGAAGTAACAGTGGCTCCATTAGTACTGGCCGTTCTGGGCGAGAATGTACTGGTTTCAGACTGGCTGCTGAGTACGGTCACCTCCGGTTTTGTGCTGGTCAAAGTTCCACTTGTTTCGAAGTACGTGATCGTGGCAGATACGCCAGGAGCTGACTGCGACTGCGTATTGCGCTCGGAAGTGGTGCCGACGATGGTGAACTGGCCGAATGCGGTGGTAGTGCCAGTGGTGGTCCCAGCGGTGGTGCCAATGACCGTAGCAGCGGCAGACTCAGTCTGTGGCGCGATGTCTGAAACAGTACTGTTGACGACCTGGCTAGTGGTAGACCTCGTATATGTCAGCAACTCTGGAACCGCAGAACTTCCAGAAACACTCGTCCTGGACGTCGAAGTCGTGGTGATCGAATGGCTGGTCTCCGTCAAAGATATCCGCCACCGTGCCACCGGGCACGGAGTGGGCGTGCCCGCAGGTCCTTTGCCTAATCCTCTGAGCCTCAGTCCTCACTCCTGAAAAGTCTTTGAGGGGCCCAGAACCCAAATTACCAAATCTTCGTGGGCTTGTCGCGCCCCCCCCCCCTCTGGGTCCTGGAACGAAAAGTAAGGGCGCAGGGCTTGACCACGAGGTAATGCGCTGAAAGTCCTACTCTTAGGATAACGTCGGCGACGCATCGAAACATCCCACAAGTCATGCCTTGATGGCAAGCAAGACGAGAGGTAAGAGAGAAGCCGCGGGATCGGGAGATGGGACATAGAAGGACGTGGCCGTTGTCCGTTGCTACGATCCGCAGATAGAGTCACGCAGTCGTGCAACTGGTAAATAAGACAGCGCTGCCTTGAGCCAAGACAGCGTCGGATATAGCGTTCGCTATACAATCTCTCCTTAAACCTCGTTTAAAGTCGGGAGAGGAGGGGCCGAGCGCTAGATCCAAGTCCTGATTAATTAACTCACGTAAAGAAAAAGAAGGATCGAAACATTGTTTTTCAACATGCCTAGGAGCGCACAGTATTGAAGCACAGAAAGGGCAGCGCAGAGCATCAGGGATGGCCATGGCGCGTTGCCATGACCAGCCGCTGACGACCTTGGACAGTCACGGGCAAGTCCGCGTGGCGACCCGCAGATGATTTAAGGGGGGGGGGGGGGGGGGCAGCCAACAGGCCGGACCTCAAAGCGTGCAGCGTGCGAGGGAATATGACCTAACGGTCAGATCCCCTCTGAGAATAAGAAGGAATAGTGCCCGCATCCAGGCACTCATGGTAGCTGCGGAGCTATGAGCATCTATCCCCGTGGCCGGGCGAAGATGACCACGTTGTAGGCATTCATGCCCGTGTCCGGGCAAGGATTACTACTTGTCTGAGTTCGAGTAGTCGTCCTCGTTGGTATCCGCTAGCCCTGAATAGGGCACCCCTTGCAATTACTTGTAGCAGCAACGCGCAGTCGATGCGCTCCTTGGCGCGGCCGTCAGCGGTCATGTCTCGCGCATCACACCACAGCGCGCTATGACTTATACCTCGCTCCATCATTTGTCTTTTCCAACTGGCGCGCCCCAGCAGAGCGCATTCGGTCGGAAAGACCGACTCAGCGCCCATGGTAAGCATGGCCTTCATGCTGAGACCACCAAACTCTACAACGTCCTTCAGTTGAGTGGGCGTTAGGGCTTAGGGGTCCAGCTATACGCTCCTGCAGACTGACTATGGTGGGGTAGCAGTCATCATGATTATGAGCGGCTGCCAGCGTTTCAGCTGAGTAGCTGGAACGCACCTGCAAGCGATGCGCCTTGCACCGTGCATCGATCAGATTACCCTGGCTCGCCCTGCAGCCGCGCCAGCCTCCGACGTCGGCTGCGACGCGCGCCCCGCGGGCCCGGCTTGGCCCCCCGGCCGCCGCTGCGGCCTCTCCCCGCGCGGCCCGCCCAGCAGCCGTTCCACCCTGTCTTCTCGCTTGCGTCTGGCTCATTGTCGGCCCTGCGACTCGCCCCTTGCCAGGTTGGTCATCGGATGCCACGGCCCCTTGCTTTGTCATCTTCGCCCCCTATCAAGGCGACGATATCCTGAGACACTATGAAGATCCACTTCTCCGGTCGGATCCATAAATTGATCGGAGGTCGGGGGGCGAGATCGCAGTGCACTGGAGCCCCCCCGCCGGGAAATCGAGCATCGAGTTCGCGCTCGTGCCGCGCGCGCCGGCGAGGCGAAGCTGCGTGGGCGGGCGAGGGGAATCCACTCTGCTGTCGCTAGGGGTACCCGCCAACACAAATGTTTCCCCCTCCGGCCTTGTCAAGCGGGGGCCCGCATTGTCCCGTCGGTGGCTCGCCGTTGTCCCGTCGGTGCCCCGTCGGCGCCCCGTCGGTGTCCCGTCGGTGCCCTACCTCCCCACAACCTCCTTATCACCCGCAGGGTGGTCGCGTAGGTATTATTTCGTCCGGACCTCGCTGCAGTTTGCGCGTGACAGCGTGGAGGTCCGCGTGTCCCCGCGCGCGCTGCAAGGGTACCGCGCGCGCGCCATTAGACGCGCCTCAGTGATTAATGCATGCGCCAAGGCGCCGCGTAAACTGATGAACATGTCGCATACGATCCTCGTTGCCTCTGCCTCCGCTACAGCGCCCGTAAGTTATGGATGTTGTTTCGGGCGAAACTGTTTGCTGTGTTCATGCTGATCCAGCTGGGCGCGGTCGTCCTCGTTTTCTGTGCATCGCACGGCGCAATGGGTGCAGCGGTGTTTGTTCTGTTTGCATGCGCCGAACGTACCTTCTACACATTTGACGTATTTGCCAATCGTGTTCTCCACCCATGCCATGTGTGTGTGTGTCATAGACATGCTTGGCTGTCAAGAAGTTTGGGCTTGTCTCAAACTCTTCAACATACGACGTCGGTTTTAGCCAGAACCCTCGCGTTATGGGTCTGAGCTTCAGTGACAATGCCCTAAGGACGTCTTTCGCGCCTGTGTCTGGCTTAAGGCACTGTAGACAATGCTTTGACTCGTCATGGGGCGAGAAACCGGGCAACGCGCGCAGCGCCGATACTGAGGCGGGCGAAAGAGCAAGCAAACCATGCGCTCTTTCTCTCCAGGCTTCTGCCAACTCACGATCGGTCAGACCTTTCGAGACAACCTTATCGATGTCGAATGATGCCATGATGCGCTGTCTCTTGCACGCGGCCTCGCTGGCGAGCCATCTATGGCTTGCTCGACGAGCTGTGCCTGCGAAGGTTTCTACGTCGAACGCTTCGTCATCCAAGAAGCCACGAAGAACATGGCGTAGTCGCATTGCCCGTTCAATTTCGCCCTTGTCGTTGTTGACGAACTTCCACCTGCACACGTTTCTGGAGGTCATGACATTAGTAGCATTCATGATGCCGTGCATCTTGAAACATTTGTTATCGTACCATACATTGATTTTAATGTACAAAGTTTTGGATACATGTGCCGGTTTGGCTTGCATTTCTGCCTTCGCCAGGAGGTCGCCTTCCTTGACAACCGCAGCTCTTTGAGCTGCGGCTGAGACATATACGCGCATTGAGGTTACTTGGTCGCTGTGTAGTGACTCGTGCTGTTGCTCTGCAAGAACAACCTTGGCCCTCCTGGCAACAATAAAGCAGAACGAACTCAACATGCTGACCGTGGTCGTCCGAATCGAGATCGCAAGTCTCGTCGAATTCGGTGGTCCAGGGTGCCGGAAAGGTTTCGTCGGTGCCACGGTTCCGAGCATGACCTATTTCTTGCATGTGTCCCTGCTCTTTACTGGCCACAGCCGCGAGCGCGCGGTTGTCGGCTACGATTTCGATGGGCACAGAGCACAGGGACTCCCGTTAAAGTGGTCTCGAGCAGATCCTTTTCCTCTTGGAGCATCAGATACCACGCGTCCATGATGCGTGCTTCCAGGTCCGTTTCTGACTCTTCAGCAATAGTCGGCAGTCTGCCGTCAAGTGCGGCCGGCGCTGGAGGTCTGTCCTCCGCTTGGGCGTGGCCGCCCGGCGCTGGCATGCCCGCCGTGTCCTCAAACTTTGAGAGGTCCTAATCGAAGCGTACTAAAGGTTTTGATGACTTCAAGCGCTGAGTGGCTGAATGGTTTGTCCATGCGCGGTTCCAGTGATGTCGCGCATGTGGGGGCGGTACCTACTGACTCGTTGCAATGAGAAACCGGTGCAACGTCGCTGTCGCCGCGCGCCGGGGCAAAGCTAACAGCGCAGGGCGCTGCCAGTAACCCGTGGATGCTTTTAGCCATACGCGCAGTTTCATCAACGTTTTGGATCCTGAAGTAATTTCCGATGAAGAACTGCAGAGCTAGATGCAATTTGGGCAAGAGCCGACTCGCTGTAGTCATCCGCAAGTTTAATTTCCTGGTCGGCAAGTGGCCAGAGATCATAGCAGACCCCCCCGCAGGCGAGCTCGCGACGAAGGCCAATGCAGTTCGCATTGCCGCAGTTTCCAAGCCGATCTCGCGGGCCAGGAATACTTCAATATATAATGTGCGTAGTGAGTCAGTCTGGTGATTGTACCAAGACTTCCCAGCCGCCGACCTGAACCATTGTCTGACCACGGTTAGGGCAAGTACGGACGATGTCGTCCTCGGCAGTGGTTGGACGGCGGTAGTCCACGAGATCCCCTGGCTAATACTTGTTGCGCCCCGCTGCTGTCGACTTTGTGCGTCGAGCTCTATTGGTCTTGATTCCTGCAATGGCTTGTGTAATGGCCTCAATGATTATTTCTCTGATTCTCTGATTTCGGTGATGATCGGGCGTTTCCGTCTCCTGTTGGTGAGCCAACGCCGGCAGGTCTGGCAGGCAGGCTGGTTGTCGCCCATGCAGTGCTTGGCGTGGAGTGGAGATACCCCGTTGCTGAACGACTGATAGGGCAATGGAATGTTCTGCCGTTTTGCATATTCTTCCATAACATGCAAGGTGGCCCTCAGAATGCCGCTGCGTGCTTCAATGGAAGTGTTCTTGCTGGCCTCGGGCACGAATGCGACGTTCTGTGCCGGGGCGGATTTAGCCATGTCGTTGTTCAGAACACCGTCGCCGTCGGAAGACAGCGCTGTAGCTGGACCGTGCTACGCCAAGCAATTTTGATGGGCGCCCCATCTCGCGCGCGTCGTCCTGTCGGATACCTCTTGGCCAGCAGCCCAACGAATGCACCGGTCAACGATGTGAGACGCGATTTGTTGTTAGAACATCACATCACGCTCGACTTCTTCGTTGAATTTGCCAGGGGGCGCATTGAAGGCACAACGATATCGCCTGGTTTCTCCCGGGCTCTGCGCTCGCGGCACGAATCTGCTGCGCCTTATATCATGTTTAATCGTACAAAATCGTTTCCCACGCGCAACAGAACCGTGCGCATCTTTGAACAGAAGCGTGTGATCAGCGCAAGTGGAGCCTCCCTAGCTCTTTCAGCACGGTGGTCGAATCGTAACTCAGTT